GTGGTGGTGGTGATCTCAGGGATGGTGGCAGTGGTCTCAGGTGTGGTGGTGGTGATCTCAGGGATGGTGGTCCCAGGGAATGTCGTGGTGGTGTCAGGGTTTGTGGTTGTCTCAGGACTGGTGGTGGTCTCAGGCATGGTGGTGGTGGTCTCTGGGATGGTGGTGGTGATCTCAGGGATGGTGGTGGTGACCTCAGGGATGGCGGTGGGGACATCAGGGATGGTGGCAGTGGTCTCAGGGATGGTGGTGGGGACATCCGGAATGGTGGTAGTGGTCTCAGGTGTGGTGGTGGGGACATCCGGAATGGTGGCAGTGGTCTCAGGGATGGTGGTGGGGACATCCGGAATGGTGGTAGTGGTCTCAGGGATGGTGATGGTCTCAGAGATGGTGGGGACATCAGGGATGGTGGTGGTGATCTCAGGGATGGTGGTCCCAGGGAATATCATGGTGGTGTCAGGGTTTGTGGTTGTCTCTGGGATGGTGGTGGGGACCTCAGGGATGGTGATGGTGGTCTCTGGGATGGTGGTCATGATTTTAGGACTGGTGGTGATCTCAGGGATGGTGGTCCCAGGGAATGTCGTGGTGGTGTCAGGGTTTGTGGTTGTCTCTGGGATGGTGGCAGTGGTCTCAGGACTGGTGGTGGTGATCTCAGGCATGGTGGTGGTGGTCTCTGGGATGGTGGTCATGATCTCAGGACTGGTGGTGACCTCAGGGATGGTGGTGGTGACCTCAGGGATGGTGGTGGGGACCTCAGGGATGGTGGTGGTGATCTCAGGGATGGTGATGACCTCAGGGATGGTGGTGGGGACCTCAGGGATGCTGGTGGTGACCTCAGGGATGGTGGCAGTGGTCTCAGGGATGGTGGTGACCTCAGGGATGCTGGTTGTGATCTCAGGGATGGTGGTCCCAGGGAATGTCGTGGTGGTGTCAGGGTTTGTGGTTGTCTCTGGGATGGTGGTGGTGACCTCAGGGGTGGTGGTGGGGACCTCAGGGATGGTGATGGTGATCTCAGGACTGGTGGTGACCTCAGGGGTGGTGGTGGTGACCTCAGGGATGGTCGTCCCAGGGAATGTCGTGGTGGTGTCAGGGGTCGTGGTGGTCTCAGGGAACGTTGATGTCTCAGGGGTGGTGCTTGCCCCAGGTGTTCTGGTTGTGGTTCCAGGGATGGTGGTGGTGGTCCCAGAGGGGATGGTGACCTCAGGATTGGTGGTTTCAGGGAAGGTCATGGTGGTGTCAGGGTTTGTGGTTGTCTCCAGGATGGTGGCAGTGACCTCAGGGATGCTGGTGGTGATCTCAGGGATGGTGGTGGTGACCTCAGGGATGGTGGTGGTGACCTCAGGGATGCTGGTGGTGATCTCAGGGATGGTGGCAGTGGTCTCAGCGATGGTGGTGGTGACCTCAGGGATGCTGGTGGTGACCTCAGGGATGGTGGCAGTGGTCTCAGGGATGGTGGTGACCTCAGGGATGCTGGTGGTGATCTCAGGGATGGTGGTCCCAGGGAATGTCGTGGTGGTGTCAGGGTTTGTGGTTGTCTCTGGGATGGTGGTGGTGACCTCAGGGATGGTGGTGGTGGTCTCTGGGATGGTGATGGTGGTCTCAGGACTGGTGGTGGTCTCAGGCATGGTGGTGGTGGTCTCTGGGATGGTGGTCATGATCTCAGGACTGGTGGTGACCTCAGGGATGGTGGTGGGGACATCAGGGATGGTGGTGGTGGTCTCAGGGATGGTGGTGGTG